GGGTTAGTGATGCAGTTCATCGGGAAGCTAGGTGCTGGTTCGGCGCCTCTAACCCAACACTCTTTTGCAATCCACGTGGGAGCACTTGTTCGGTTATCTCCATGATTGCAGAGAAAAATCCTTTCCTTGCGAATCTTGGAGATACCCGAGTTCGGCTCTCGGGAAGAATTCAACGATTTTTCCTTAGGAAAAACGAAATCCTCAAGCACCAGCCGAGGGAGCATCATAAATATCAAGAGTTTCGGGAAAGATGGGTCCGAGGAAACGAACAGAACTCAGGGAAGGGCTGGGTGACCCGTACAGATGAAAATCTGATGGTGAGAGGGCCATGTAGAACAATAAAACAGTAGACGTGGTGGCAAAGATCTGCACGGGACCTGCACAAGACGAACAACTCGTCAAAATAATAGCAAAAATAAATAAAATAGTAGATGCACTAGCAGAATTCTGCATGACACCCAAACCAGACATACAAACTCGTCCGAGTAACTCGTCTATTCGAAGATTATTCGGAGTATAGAAGTAGTTTCTCAGTGACTCTATCTGATAAGCTGTGGTCTGAGCTGGATAAGCTATGAAAAAAATGAGTAGGCAGCAAAGATTATGAGTTGATATCAATTCACAATGGCCAATCTGCCCGCCCCAGGTCTCTTGGGTATCGGCAGAAATCCACTTGAGACTGAAGAAGTGTTAGAAATACAACTGTTTTTTTTTATACAATAGCTAATCGATGGCCGACTGCATTCTAGACATCTGTCACAAAGATAAGAGAGAGAGAAGAAAGAGTAATAGTAGCAAAGCGATAGCCTCGATGGTGTAGTGGTAGCAAGCGCCTATGGAATGGACGAAGTGCGAGTTCAATTCCAACGTTTCGCGTGTAACTCAAAGTTTCTAGAAAAAGAAGGTTAAAAGCACGAAAATCCCACCACATTGATCAGCAAAATGAGTTGCATGGCGATCTTGACGATCATTGGTAGATCGCTTTTATTTCGTACTGGCTGTACCAATGAGTTGTAGCCTTTGAATAAGTCGACCATTAGTCGATCCTCTGCGTCCGACATTGTCGCTGATCTCACCACCACCCTGGAAGACGATGAAGCAATCGGATGGATCCAATGGATTCAGTGGACTCACTGACTGGGCGATCAGTAATCACTATAGAAACAGAGAGGAAAAGCAAAGGAACAAAAGTGAACTATAAAGATTGGGTGGGAAAAGATGCTGGGATACTGAGTTAAATGTAAAACTTTGGAAACCCCTCAGGCCGGAGGGCTGGCAGTAGTGGAACGCGGGTTCAACTCCCGCTAGTGTCGAAAATTTTGTATATCACTCAGCATTCTTGGATATGTATTTAAGACACCATAGAATTGCTGTAAGAGCGGTAAAATAAAAATTTCTTAGATTATCCAAAGCGTTCACAGATACCGTATCCTATGTTAGCGATGTATCCGGTGAGAAGAGTAGATCAAGGCAGGAGATTTTGTTCCTAAGAAAATCAGCTGAGATGCGAACGGTTCAAAAAACGTTTTACTTTGGATTTCGAAAGAAAGGAGCCTAAAAATGAGAAGAGCGTCTACATGAAGATCTGGTGAGCACAAACCAATAAATGGCTTACGAATTTATGTGGATAAAACACGAAGGAGAGAGAGTTTTCTCATGAATGAGATAATGATTTCTAAAATTAATCTTTCGTCTTTCATTACGACGAAATATCTTAATATGAAGAAAATAAATGGGAAATGGGATGCCATATGTCTGGTTGGTGCTGACAATTCATCTGGTAATTGAGAAGCAGAGAGACTGAGGAGAAGCACAATTTCACTGCCCTGGAAAGCCAGGAAAATCTTGAAAAACCTAGTGCGAGGCTCGGTTACCGAGTCATTCATTACTGTTACAAGTAAAGTTCAAATATTCATTGTGGATTTCAATACTACAATCTCTGCTGTTAAAAAGACCTCTTTGAAAAGGTATCAATTATTCTACCATGTCAAAAACTACACGCTAAAGGAGAGTTATGGGCCCATCAATTTTTTAAAAAAGACTGAGGCTTAGGGCCTGAGCCTGAGCCTTTAAAAATTAATGGGACCATATTTCTACCCAAGGGCCAAAAATTACTACAACTACTACTATATACTTTGAAATAATCTTCGTTCGTATGAACATCATCGACTCTAGCAAAGAAACGGAAAAAAATAAGCGAGGCGCAGAACGGATCGACTTAGTATGTTGATGGATGGCCATTTAGGTAGAGATTTTCGATATAATGGAAATTTGAGGTCTAAGCGAGGGGACACCGAGAAGCCATAGATCAAAAAAGCATTAATTTAAATATCTGGGCTTTGCCTGAGTAATAAATGTCTATTGAATTTGGATTGGCGTGTGGTGGGGACGTCTTCTCAACGAGTGCCGTCGCATTGGACTAAGCCCTCTTCACCCTCTCTGTACAAGCCAAAAGTGTCTACTAAGCCTCTGCGATACACTTCACCCCCACAACCACTAAAGCAACAAAACAAATCCTCTTATAGCTGTATTTCACACATCAAACCCTCTATAGATCACTTTTCTGACCCGGCTTATGAAGTTCAACAGCCATTATTTTTATTATAATGAAAAGTAGGCAAAAATATGACGAAAGGGATGGCATAAAAAATTTTAAAAAAGTCGAGATCCCACTATCCAATCTATAATATCAAACCGGAGCGGATAGCGCAGTGTTTAATGAAACGGTGTATCAACAAACAAAGCGATAAGCAAGACGCCAGTTCGATCTCCTCCCTCAACACTCCCTTGAAATCAATGAGCGGACACGCTTTAGGAAACGCCTTAGCTTGGATTTACTCAAGGGTTTAAATATAAAATAAAACCAAATATCACACCCAATTGGTTAACTTTGGCTATACTGTTCATAAGATAATAATGACAATATTACCGCCAACATGCAGTATCATAGACTGCGGCCTTACTTCATAAAGACAGTGAAAAAAAAAAAACTTTAGAGAACCCCAAATAGCACTGGGTTTTTATGAGGGCTAGAAGAAGAGCTAGGTTTACCCTCCTGCAGAGAAGAGCACACCTAACTCAGCCATCAAAACCAGTGGCGGACGAAGTGCTCAGCGACACCATGTGCGGCACAGAGATCGAACCAGAAACTAGCTCTACGCAATCGGCATGATTTCGCATTTCGCCATAGCTCAAAGCGATAGCTCGTGAGCGATTTGACTAATAGCGATAGCACATTTAGACCTTCACATGAACGATGTTCGGCGGTGAAAAAAAAGACTAATTCATCGATTTTCAAAAGAGAAATGCGTCATCACATTACCATATAAATCAGGGGCCGGCTCCATTTAGAAAAAAAAATCCCTAGGGATGCACACTTCATAGCCACTCGAATCATACAGCCATTTCTTTGTTATAACAACAAATACGCATCACCCATAAAATTCCATGATTAAGAACGGTCTGTGCTTGGAAATAGTACGTAATAGAATTTTGTAGTACAGTAATTTTGATAGTAATATAAAGAAAATAAAATGGGATATTGAAATTTTAGCAGTAAGAAATAGCAATTTTATTAATCTAGTGATTTTTAGCAATCTTCACTTATTCTTATATTGAGAAAATTCTTCACTTTTACTTTTATTTTCCAAAAAATTCAAAAATTTCTTGAAGAAGATTCCTCATTACCGAAAAGTGTGCGTGTTTGCCGGTCCTTTTTTTTTGCAAAAATTAACTCTTTCGGATCGTGGCCCCACCTCCTCTGCATTTCTAACTCTCAGCGTGTGAACGCATTGAATGTACTCGTATATTATGTCATTATGCCTACTGGTTATTTTCAAAGTTTCTGTAATTTGAGCGTGTTCTTCTGAAATATTCGAAACGAATGGCATGATAGATTATTTCAATTGTATTGATGCTGTTATTTTCCCACTTATAACAACATAATTCAGGAAAACAACAACAATAATACAACTTGAATAATATGATAATACATTCGCTGCGTTCTCACGCGGGGGGTTAGAGATGCAGAGGAGGTGGGTCCACGGTACCGAAGAGGTTAGACCGCTCTTATCTATAGAATTTTAGGATGATATTATAAACATACCTCCACGATTGTTACGTGACATGCAAAACATTCGACACCAGGTAAGAGTTGAATCTGCGTCCTACCCAAATCGCAAATAAAGGATTTTTATAGGCTACACATTTCTAATTTCTGTCAGCTCAATTGGTTCAATGACAAAATGAGATTTCCAACCTAACCCGTTAGAGGTTGGTTGTTAACAACTGATTAAAAAATCGATTGAAAAGTGATAGCAAAGCGATAGCCAAGGTTAGGGGCCCCCGGCATTCAACCATCACCTGGCCTAAGATGTTTTGGATACTCTGGTTATTCTTATGAAACTAACTGTTCAAAATGACAATCACAGATAGTCGTGTTAGTCAACTAGTGGTAACTAAACGTTTTCAAAGAAATAAAGTATTTTTGTACTTCTTATATCATATTTCTCTCCGTCCCCCTTCCCCCTAAAATCCTTTAATGCTCTTTGATCAATACTATCATTCTCCGCTATCGGTGCAGTGTGGCCCATTGGTTAGCGATGCTGTGTATCAGGAAGGAAGGAAGGTGATAAACAAGACGCCAGTTTGATCCCCTACACAAAAGTCCATCGAAAACCACAGATTTTGTGCATCAACAACCTCTCAATCGACTGAGAAGCATAGTCAGCTCGGAGTGTCAAGGGAAGTCAAGAGTGGTACACCCGATCCAAGACGTCGGTGACGAGGTCACAGCTCATCGAACCCAGATTGTCCCTGCCATTACTTTCGATGCTGATACGACTGCATCGACTTTGTTGCAGGAAGTGCCGAGACTTCCCAAATGTCAAGATGGACCATTTATGTTAAAAACCCCGTCAGACTAGTTACAGACATACATAATCTTACAGGGTGATCAAGTGGACAATACACCTGAGAGAATCGGGTGATGGGCAAAAACTCGACCTTAGGCGGGAATTGAACCCGTATTTCACCCATACAGGAGAGGGGAGGGGGGCGTGCTACCGCTACACCACCGAAGCCACCGCTTTGCCGTCACTCATGCTTGATTAAGTCCCTATCCTAGTTATCGGCCACCAACCTTCAACAGGTTTGCTCGCGTCAGCACATATCGCTTTGAACCCAGTTGAGCAGACAGTTATTTTGCATTTATAATTCTTAAAACTTCTTTTTACTGCTATTTCGCAGTGTTATAATGTTCTGATACATCTACGAGGAAGGGAAAAAAGAGAAGGAAAGGAGGAAAACTAGTAAGACGAAAATAAGTTTTAAGAATTCTCAATACACAATCCCTGTATTAACTGGGTTAACTGGGTTTGAAGCGATATGTGCGAACCCAACCAAGCCTATTCAAGGTTGAACGCTGATAGCTGCCGATAGGGACTTATGTAAAAATGAGTGGTGACACAGCGATGGCCTCGATGGTGTAGTGGTAGCATGCGATCACAATATGGGTAAAACGTCGGTTCAACTCCTGTCTAAAAGCGAGTTCCTGTTAATAATAACATTATATCACTGCGAAAAGCAGTAAAACAAAAAGAATTTTTAAGTGGGGCAATATGTGATAAACCTTTGTCTGAAATATTGGAGTCTTTCGACTTCCTTATACGCACGTTTTTCAGAAACTAACAATCCCACTTCATTGCTCACTATCCAGGGGATTTTTTCGATCTGCTTTTAAAAAATTAAAAGGATACAAAGCATATTCAAAATATAACCCAAAGCATCAAACGCGTGAGGAAGCAACCTCTACTGGTCCCCCAATCGGGGTCCGGAACGAATTTCCTCCTATTCGCCGTCCTACATGGGACGATCGATCTTCAAAATTCTAGCGGACACCAACAGTCAGAACAGTCATGAACGACTACTGTGTGAATTTACTGAAATCCCACCAGATTACGCATCACAATGAATGCTACTGCATGGATATACTCAACCCACTACTTTATCTTTACTACTTTCAAAGAACGTAGTAATAAAATCAATTTTCCACTCAACAATACAAAGAACAGCCGGCGTGCGAATGCACCAGGCGACAGAGGGATACTTCAAAGATTACAGCTTGATTAACAACTTTTATTAGATAACTCGCTCATGCACAGCGTTGTTGAATTAAAAACCTTGATCAACTCTGAAAAATCTTATAAAATTGCAATTCACAAGACGTTTTGCAAAGCGATGCTAGCGAATGATAAGCGAGCATTTACAGAAGATTACTTGCAAACAGCTGCTAGCAAAGCTTAGAATAAATAAAACTTTTACAAAAAATCCTATGTAACGTGGATAATAGAATGTATTATTAATACCATTTACAGTGAAACGATACGAGATAATACATGGCAATGATTGAAGAGAGTCAAAAGGCATAAAGATTAAAAAAAATGAAATAAGAATGTATTGAAATTGAAATAATGGAACAAGAAGAACTGAAGCAGAAACCATTCAGCTATGCTTGAAAGAAACTGCGGCTATGTTCAAACTATGACGAAATTTGACAGCATAGAAGACAAGTAAATTAAAAACGTACCAATTTGACAGACGTTTCAGAGAAAAAAAAACCTTAGACAGCAACTGAGGCTACCAAAGGCGAAACAGCTCTGATATTTAACGATATTTCGAAGGCACAGATGTCTTCACACATGTCCCACGGCAACCACTGGACGTTGTTGTGATAGCAGATTCGCTTAGTTGTTGTAAAGTAGCCAAAATCTTCTTCCCAGACGAATATCTTAGTTTATAACGATTGAAAATTTTAGGTAAACTGATGTTTCTCGAAAAATATATGCGATAAACGAGATTTGAAAACTCTCTAGTTCATATATGGTTTGCAAGAATGCAAATTATGTAGATCTAATTTGAACTTCACGATATTCTCATTGACAATCTATAGTTCTCCGCACATAACTAGGAATGCGCTAATATAAGTATTAGATCCTGTCATAAGTATTGGAAGTAAAAATAAACACCAAATTTATCATTCAAAAGTAATTAAAATTGCTTAATAAAACTATTGAAAGTCTACGCCATTAGCCTGAACAGATTCCAACCATCTCTCAGGCAACAAATCAATACTGCGCTCATAGAATAATTCCTTATCTCTGGATTCAAAAAAGGATGTCAATCCTCGACGCAAATTACTGATGTCTCAGTTCCTGCTCAGGAAGTGCTCCAGCAACAGCAAGAGGTGACAATCAGACGCGGAGAAGTCGGGACTGTACGGCAACTTCCAGCCCAGTTCGGTCAACTCCTATTTGTCAATTTGGCGACATACAGCCTTGCGCTCTCTTGAAGTAGAATGAAAATTGGGGCGACATCGACGTGACAGGGCCACGCTATTCGCCTAGACACAAATCCTTGAAAATTCGCACGGTTGCTGTTCTCGAAGGCGGTCTGTGCATCGCCTCCTAAATCGACTAGTAAAGCATCAGATAGCGATAAAGGCTTTGTTGAGCAGCCATGATACGACAAGTCTGGACAAATTAAAAAGCCCAGGAAATTCTACACAATGCAGTATTCAGTTGTTGTCTGGGAGATGGCAAAAATGTGTTCAGGCTGTTAGCGCACAATTTAAATAGTGTTGTTAAGCAAATTTAAGTAGTTCTGGTTAATAAATTTGGTCTTTATTGCCCTACCAAACAAAAAACATGCTGTAAAAAAGACCTTGCCAAGCGGTGACGATTATGAGCGATTCGAGTTTCGAGTCGGTTGAGCCACGCTAGTCGTTTATCCAAATCAGGCAAATTCTTTCCATCTCTTAACAGATGTAAGACTCGCAATGTAGGAATAATAAAAAAGGAAGGTAAGGATTGTGCTAAGTTTCAATTTTGTGAGTATGAAGAGACCAATGTCTTTAAACAATCAGTTACCTTCTGGCAAAAACACCTTCGCGGCAAATGTCGAGCATGCGCTGGACGACATAATTCCCGTACTGATGGAATAACATTATGTCCAAAGCATCCTTCTTGGTCTCTCTACAAAGAAATGAGATACTTGACATCTAAAGGAAACACTGAAGAGCTTACGGATGTGGTACGTATCCATCAAATATCTCGTCCATCATTTCCGCCAGCAAAACAGGAGGAGCAAATTCAAGCGCTTTCTCAATAACGTGAGATGCATACTTTTCTTGAGACAACGACAATATATTCTTCCTGAAAGTCAGTTGCAGAACTCCTTCGAAGTCAAAACACAACAAGGAAAATTTGGCCTGCATCATCACGACCACACAATACCAGTTATAACAAAAGTTCATATAACGAAATGCCTGAAATAAAACTTACAACAAACATTCTTCTATGAGCCTATCACGATAGTCCGCGAGAGCGCTAGACTTTATGACGTGCTGGATAACGTAATTTGCAAATTCGTTCGATGATAGTCTTTCACAGTTCGAAACCAGATGATCCATCAGTTTTTCAAGCATTGGTGCACGACACTTGTCGTATTTCTAGGATAAACATAGAAAGACTCTGATGGAGATATACGTATCATTTTTAAACTTGTCTTGGTGCTTCACATAGTAATGAGAAGGTTCTTCTCCCTTATCCAGAAACAAATGAAAAACGACCCCCTTCGCTGGACAAGAAATTTTCATAAGAGTGCTAATAATCATTCGAAAGCCTGATTCTTTAATTACTGAGCTACGTGCTCCTTTTTGCAAAAACCTTTTTATAACGCTGTAACATTCACAATTAAATTATGTTTTACACCAGTCGCTATCTTTTACTATTACTTCGATACGAAAAGCATATCAACGTTTAGAGTAAGTCTTGTAGTGTCGAGGTCACACGCTTTGAGTACAATTCCTTTCGAAGTGGAGAAAAATTCCTAACTGAATAGCAAAATTTGCACTCCCCATATGTAACATGTCGGCGAACCGATGGATCGTCATGTTGAAATCGCGGGAAGCCCCCCGTCCATTTATAGGCCGAAAAACAAATGCCCGCTTCTGTCAACTGAATCTTATTTTCCCTTTTGATTGATGAGAAATCTTTCCACGAAAGCACAGCATTGGAATCGCAGAAATTTACGTTATAGAATGTTTACTGAAAATCCCCATGAACAGTTCTGCCCTGTGAAATTAATGCGTGCGTGGAACACAAACCTTTTGTTTTGTTACAACGCTGAAAAAAGGCTTTTCTTCAGAAAACGGCCACACAGCACAATAGTCTGAGACTTAACATTTCGAATGATTGCTGAAAGTAGAATGAAAAGTTTTTGTATAGGAAAGGGGTCGCTTGTTCATTTGTTCCCGGATAACCGAAAAGAACCGATGAAACAATGATACTGAAACGATATAACCATACTTCTCTATAGATTTAACATCTAATACTAACCGGTGTAAATAATACGAACCTAGAACGGGGATCGAACTCTGATTACCCTTCCTGGGGGAGTATGCTAACCTACTACCTACCGCACTTACGGGGCTCGTGCTTTGTTATCACTCTTTCCGCGGTACAGGATTTCGATCTTCCAGCAAGTTGGGTTTGATGCCGATATTGCTGACATGGTTAACCGTTGACGGCTGGCTGCTGACGGAATCGATAACTTATATCGCAGACAGATAACAGAACAGGATCCCCACTAATCCAATAGGTTAGCACGCGACCTCCGGCAACATGGAATTTATGGGTGCAACTTAATATTACTGTTGAAATGCGGTTACATAGAACTCATGATGATTACATATGGTCAGTTTGAGATGAAGAGTTAAAAAGCACACGTACTAGAACTCACCTTGGTGGTATCAGAAAGAACCTCAATGATCAGCTGGATCACACGACAGCCATACTTATCTTCAGCGATGCGAAAGAGATCTTCAGTATTAAGAATGAAGTGCTCCACGATAAACAGCCAGTGTGATAGGTCAAATGACGTCATTATCTGAAAACCTCGAAATTGCAGTGTACATTCGACTCCTTACAAAGCAACCAACTGATGTTGTTTTCAGAAATTTGTAAACACTTTGAGCGTTTCCTCTGATTTGTATTTGCTAATGTTTTCAGATACAGTCGAAGATG